GAGGTCATTCTCCGAGCCCCGTGAATCTGACATATATTTATATTGAAATAAAGGCCTTTTATGAAGGTAAGAAATTCTTGGTTAAGTGTTGAAAGTAACACCAATCTTTAGAACAACATGTACAAATGCATGTACTTGTGGTATACATTTGAAACTTTAACATGCCACATCAGTTTTAGAAAAGGAAAATCAGTATCCATGGCCCATAAGACCGGCATATAATTTTACTGAATTTTGTTTTATGCTTTTCAGTGGATTACTAATTCATCCGTGAAAATAATATTTGATAATTTCTAAGTGAAAATTATCAAAACATAATTTCACACTTTTCAATGACGAAACTACTTTTTGAAGTCTTTACACATGTGGGACCTCAATTTCATTTTTACTTACAATTTTGACATTGTCAGGGCTATTAAGAGAAAAGCTAAGCTAAACTTGATAAATAACTTGAATTTCAAAAGAAATAAAAAGAAGAAAATTAACTTCAATCATTCAAATTACCAATCACCAAATATCGTCTCTAATTTTTTTTGTTTCATTTTAATACAAATCCTTCCACATGCAAAACAGCTATTGATGACATTTGGGCATATTAAAGTATCATACGAGCAATAAGTGCCTAATGCAATATGAAATCTTGAAACCAATGACAGCAATCAGCCCGAAGAATACTAGTAAGTAAAAAACCTAGCTTCGTAAGGCAGCCTTTCAACAATTCCATCTTTTCCAATTTCCTAGCCGCTTTTTGAATGTTTACACATATGTCAACACTTATTTTTTTTTATCTGTAACAATCCTCAAATAAGTTTTCTTTTTTCTAAAAACATAAAAAGATCAGCCCAAGACTTCTTGTATTTTATGAGAAATTCGACTAATAGAGGCTACCATTTGGGAAAACAGATTTTAATATTAAAGTTAATATTAAGGAAATTTCGTCCTTTTAAAGCATACAATAAAAAAGAAAATGTGTTTGTTTGTTGTGAAAGATGTAATTTTATTTCATATCGTAATCTTTAAAAACAGAATACTTTTTGTAAAGCCCACTCGATGAAATAAAATTTTATCTTACACACAAACAAACAAATATCCTCTATATAAACCTTTGTATTTAATTCTTCAAAAGGCTTTAGCAAAAATCTAAAGTAAAAAGAAACAACTTGGTGCGACAAAGATTTTCAAAAAAGCCCATGTTTGTAACCATATTTAGAGACCATTTTCCAAAGCTCATATCCCTGACATGGAATTTGATTGATTTATTAGTCGCCGGTAGAAACCGGCGACTATATTTGTAACAGTTTAATATTAAACCTATGGTAGGAGAAGGCATTAATTTCTGTAAATAAAGGCATAATAATTACCGAACAATTAAAGACTACAATTGTTTTCAGTAATCTCAAAAATTCAAACATACAATAATGTTGCTCAATGAAATGAAATATTCAAATATTGACATCGTAAAAAGCAACATTACAATTTTTATAAAATGAATAAATGACGTATCCCTATGGATAAGTCATTGAATTTAGGGATGTTTTTCCTTTTTTTCAAAGTGTCAAGCGTTGCTATTTTATGATAAATAAATCATGCATGGTATTTGAAATGACACTTTTAAATTATCTGGTTGTTTGTATGTTATGAGACCTATTCTATTTTTTTTATCTTATTTATTATAAACAGCTTCTCCCAGAATCACGTGACTACACGTTGTATGTTATTGTTATAAAATCTATTAATAGTAACAAATGGCTGATAAGACAGACATACAGGTAACACATTGTGAATGGTTATCAAAATTATGAAATAAAAAAGTGCTATAATGAAACACACCATTTATCAACTTATGTTTCATAAAGTTGAAAGATATAATAAAAATCAATTTATGAAAACTACACACAGGATTTGTCCAAGATTCGAACTTGCACCTACTACATAATTTATGTAGGTTACAACTTCTTCATACTTACCACTAGGCCATCGAGCAATATTAATTGATAAAATTATACATGTAATTATACTTACAAAAAAATCGTTAACATTAATTATAATAAGTTATGTAAGTCCCGAAAATTATTGAGTCTCGGGTAAATATTGCCAAACAATACTTGCTTATTTAATAATGATAACAGTTTCTTGACAAAATTGCTAAGCAAGTTTGCTTCATATATGATGTTTAATTATAACATAACATAAATTTATTGCATAAAACTCTTTTACAAAGTTTATAGCAAGAAAGATATAATTGTGGCAAGTACATGAAAACGTGTTTATGAATAAACATTACTCAACTTATTGTTCCTCTTTTCTTTATACTCGAACCATTAAACTGATATTTTCTTTTATTTATGATAAAACAATCATATTTCTATCCGGCGACTTGATGCTTTAGCATCAAACTCTCTACTTGTTGGTCTTTTGTGACAGCATTCACATAATTTCCTGTTCTTGTCCGTGTTATCAAGTGCTTTTAGCACTTTGATATATTTTTTTATTTCTATTCTCTTTTCTTACATATAAGTAAATAATTTTGAATTTTTCTTTATTTTTTCACTTTATAGGGTATAATTAAAATTATTATAGGCCATGTATTATATGAACGTATAGCTTTAAGGAGAGGACGACCATTTGCTATTGAAGCTCTAGGTCCAATTCATTTCTGCTTTAATAAATAAATTATCAGCAAGTGTATATATCTTGAATAAAAATATGTTTAAAGCAAGAAAGTACCTGGCGGAATTTAAACACATGGCGGTATGGGGAAAGTGGTTTGAAGTCAAGATCTTAAGCACTCGGGTATGGACGCCCCATTTTTACAATTATAAGGCAGCTTTTAGTAGCAATATGAATTATCAATGTATTAAGCCTTAAAATATGTTTATTGGTTGGCTTCGTAATTTATGGCAAAAATTACAATTTTACAATACTGCTTATAGTGCTTAAATCTTCAAATGAAGAACTAAGTCAACAGTAAAATATCTAGAGAGCTGTGATATTTACATTTGGAAGATTTGTTTGTAACAACTGTTCGTACTCACGCATCCTTAAAAGATTAGTCTTTTACTGATAAAATACATGCATAGTCTGGTAAAATTTGTACAATTGAGTATATGGAGTATTTGCTATTAGTCTTATTTGTAGTAAAGTGTAAAAATCGAAAGTGGCATGAGCCTGGCCTCAAACGCTTAAAAAATATAGTTTTGGTATCCTGTTATAAATTCTACAAAAAGATATAGCTCAATAAAATAAAATTATGGATAACTTTATAGTCGTCAAAACAATTTTATCTTTATTAAGCACTTCTGTTCTTTTGATTTACGGGCAATAAAACCCACCAAGTTTTATCATCTTATTTGTATTTTATGTAGTAACTTGGCGGTCGGGGATTTTGTATCTATCTATTAATTTTAGTTTTTATCACTCTGTATATTCTTAATACTCATAATGACCTAATGAGAGAATGCCATTTTAACGAATTGTTTTCTATTATGCTTATGTAACTCGCTTTAGCAATGTCATAGCTATCAAGTTGTTTGCTAGGGAATGTAGGGCAAACAAAATTACTTGCTATTAGCCAATAATTTAAGCTCGATTATTTTCAAAGAACAGTGGAGCTAATTTACTTACGGGCATCGCGTAACACTTCTGTAACAGCATTATTATCTAAAGATGTTTTCTTGGAACTTCACACATTTAATAAGATGTAACTGCCCGAAGCTAATAATTCTTAAATGGATTATTTTCGAATTAAAAGTCATTGGTTTCAGTTTTGCATTTTAAAACTACTGAAGGTAGTTTACACGCAGATTTAGATCATATTTTTGGTGTTGTCATTCCACAGTCCGTGTATGTATATATGCATGTATGCATACATGCTAGCGTGCGTGCGTGCGTGCGTGAATGATAATATGTATGTATGACTGTATGTATGTTTGTTTGTTTGGGTTTTACATCACACCGACACAGTATAGGTCATATGGCGACGTTCCAGCTTTACTGGTGGAGGAAGCCCTCAGGTGCCTTTCCGTGCATTATTTCAGGCACGAACGGGCACATGAGTAGAACCACAGACGTTAGCTGGATAGCTTTCCCACATAAGAATACAAGGTCCCTGTCGGGATTTGAACCCACAGTCGTGACGGACAAGTAGTTTGAAGTCAACGACCTTAACCTTAACGTACCTAACACATTTATTCTGTAAGCATGGCCGGCATACAAGAGCATTCTTTCCAGTTCTTTTACAGAAAAAATTTTGAATGAAATTTTAGTCTAATAATAACAGATGAAATATATATTACAGTATAAAACATAGTGTGATTCGGCAAATGATATAGAACTGATAATTTTATTTTGATTTGCCTTTTCAATGATTTCACACTGACATGACTCATGACTGAATTATGGCCCTTTGTGAAATTTTCAAAGGTAATTCATTTAATACATATCTTGGGGATCGTATTTGGGAGTCACTGTCCCTATTATGGGTTCTGAAAAAATAATAGCTCTCTTTGAACTTAAAAATTCATAGTTAACACTTTTCGTGCAACATCAGTGTTCACAATTACCAAAGGTTTTCGTAATCATTTCATAATAAGACATGTCTTCGTGATCATACTTGGAGGAGGACACCTATTTGTTTTCCAATTACAATTGAAGGTTACTTTCATTAACTCGGGAATAGATTTTGAATACTGTATAACCCTTTATGATCCTACAAAATTCTTTGGCCGATACCGAAGACTCAAATGTCATGCCTTTTTCGAATGAAATAAAAAAAAAACATATTTACAAGTTAAAATAATTTAAGCATCATATTTATTTACCTGCTCCTTTAATATAAAGGAGGGAATAAGGGAGAACCGGGCTTAAATTTAATAAGATAGTTATTGCTCTCTTTAATAATAAAACAACAAAGATTTATTGTACCAGACATGATTTTTTTATTAACTACTTCAGACACTGATTTAGGATATGCATTTGTAATGTTTATTTGATCCATGGAAACCGCCAGGACTTTGTGTATAAATTGGCGGGATCGATGGAAAAATTATTTCATTTTACGAAGGCACGGATCATAGTTCGACAATGGAAAGATATACTTTTGTCGTCATTTGTCTTGCTCTTGTCTTAAAAACGTCAGGTAAGTTACTTTTACAAAAGTTAAAATTCAATTCTTATTTCAAGTACATCAAACATATATTTATGATTATTACAAATATATTATAATGAATCTGAAAATTTTGTAATTGCTTCATAAGATAATCAATAGACCTTTTAATTCTTACATTACAGTGTAAGCAGGAATTAATTGTTCTAAAGAAATTCAAACTTAAATAACATAAAATAAAATGCAATTCAAACTTTGATTACACAAAATAAAAATCATAATTCAATGTCAAATGCCTTATAAATTCTTTTTGACATGTAACAAACATTTGATTTTGAAGTGACATGAAAATAAAATTGAAATTACAAATGTAAAAAAACACTTTTCATCTGCTGCAAAATTAATATTTAAAATGAATATGTCATACTGTAATTTTTTTCATTTTCTTCTTTTGAGATATCTGTCATAAGAAATATTTTCTTGACCGTAAAAGGATTATTGAAATGCAGAAATAAGTAAATTACCAATTAGCAAGACCGCTTACATATTAGGTAAATAAAGATCATTATTTTTTTTGTAATTTACTCGTCTGATACATTTACGATAATTCATGTCACATAAATGACAACATGGTTGTTATCGATCGTTAATTTTATTTTAGATATTTATTTGAAGTTCTCTGTTTAACTTAACAAAAGGAATTATTAGACCGCTGTCTTTTGGCAGCTGCCGTGTTAATAAGTATAAATCGAATCTTTTTGATTGGCCGAATAGGTTATTTTTTACCTATGAAATACATTTTCATTGGTAGCTTTAACAATTTTCTGTTTTAAGTTGTATTTTCATTCGGTAACTATTAAAGGCATTTTTTTTTAAAATGGTTTGAATGAGAAGATATAGATGATAGAACTATTCAGGCAGTCAGACGGTAATCATTTAAAGCGACGGGACCGCAGTTTTCTACGCTGCATTTTAATAACACATACATGTATATAGATGTTATTTTAACCGGTTGGAATTGTTGTTCTTAATATGAATAAAAAATCTATATTAAAAACCGATAAAATGGACTTTGTGCTTTTATAATATTTAAATGATTGTTAGATGAATACTGGAGATAACTAATGATAACACGTTAACGGAGTCTCATACAACAGAAGAATCATGTCAAAACATATACAAAACGAAACAACCACAGGACCAACTCACAAACCCCGCATAACAAATAATTCAAAAATCTTGTATGGAAGAAAATGGTAGTATATTGCGTTAAAAGCGAATTGTGCATCCACAAAATCATTGCTAAACGATTAAACCCGTTTTAAAATAGAAGCATAATATTTCGTTCCGGGGCATTTTATTTTGTTTACGTATAATAATCATGGATGTTAAGTAAAGAGACATTCTATGTTGCAACTTTTTCCAGACTCGATCATACTAGTTATAAAACAAAAACATTATAATTGCTGTTGGTAACTTTTATAGAAATATTTTGTAAGATAGGGCTTAAAAAGATTTCAATGATATGTTATTGCAAATCTTTTAAATTTAATTGCACATTTCATTTTAGACGCACAAATAACGGCATGGGAGGAACCAGCCGGAAGTACAACAGATGTTAATGCTGCAACTACTGCGACTATCGCTGAAAGCCTAGCAACTGGAACTGCAACCGGAGTAACAATCAAGGCAACTGGCACTGATACACCAACGTACGCTATCGCATCACAGGCGACTTCGGGAAAACTTACTATTGAGGCAAGTACAGGTGTATTGACTCTTGCTGCTGGAACATTTGATTTTGAGACTGAACCTACATACGTTTTAACGATTGTGTAAGTGTTACAACTTAAATTGAATACCAAAACCTAATATATTTAGACTGAAAGAATTTTATTTTTATTCTGGTTTGAATTCTGGTCATTAAAAATGTTTTACCTTGGATAAAACCGAGTTTAATTAAAACAGGTACATAAAATTGAATCAAAAATATTTTGAAACATACTTAATGTAGGTTTGTTTATATAATGATGGTTTTTGCTATCGTAATGACGAGATAAAATATAAAGGGATAAATTGTAATAATATGCTTTCAGATGATTATTGTTGCCTTAATTTCGGAGGAGTATCTGATATTTTCATTCCAGTCACTTTATTATTGTTTGTAACTGCTAGTTAATATCAATCATAATAGTTAGCATTGCTCTGACTTACTAGCGCAACTGCCGGCGGGTCCACTGGAACAGCTTCTACAACAATCAGTATTACAGACGTAAATGAAGCTCCCGAGTTTTCTGCATCTGATTATACAACGTGCATAGTTGACGGTTCTACAGAAGGTAATCTTTACTTTCCTTTTATATCTTTAAGTGTTCGTTTGTTTTAAGCAGGTACATAAACCTCAATAAACTTATATCATCTGACCTATATTCATTAAATAAGACAATTGTTCAGTCGCAACATACATTTACATTTTTGCTCTGAACGCAGACAAATTACTTATATATTTTTTGTTGTTGTTAAGTTAAGTTTTTTTATATTTAAAGTTACCCTAACTTATTGATATAATTAGTGAGTCAACATTTCACTGTTTCTTTTTGTATATGAAAAAGAGTGGAAAATAATGAGGCACATAAAAGTTTAGTTTATATGTGTGTGTAAAAGTAAAAGTACTTTTAGTACTTATATTTAAGTATGTATTTCATTAGGATAAACAAATAAGTCTTATTTCACTAAAATAAAACGAAAATAAATAAATAATTAAATAAATAAAAGAACAACAAAACAACGTTATATTTCTAAAGGAGAAGATTTTAATTAACGAAAAGGTTTTCAACACCATAGGCTTAAATCTAGGATTTCTTTGACTTTGGGATATTTTTTGTATAAATCTTAATTTGCACATGTACAAGAAATATATTTGTGAAAATTGGTATAAAATTGAAATACGGATGTATTTCTAGAAGCATTAAGTGAGTGTTATTCTACAAAACTGTTATTTTTTTCTTAAAGGTAAATCTGTAATTGCCCTTTCTGCAAGTGACCAAGACGATGGAGACATAATCACATACAGCATTGCTTGTAAGTATTCAAGATTTGGCCATGTTGTTTTATAAATCATTACTAAATCACTACTAAATACAGTATACATACATTGTACGTGTAACTGACTGGCAATGTAAAGCTTTCGAAACACAACATCATAAATTCGATGGTGATTTAGTCTCCTGTGTTCAAGAAATTTCGTAATACGTATGTGTTTGGAGATTGGTCGTCACAATTTACGTAAAAATCGTCTTTAAGAAAGATGATGTGGTATTATTGTGCTATAAACGTAATAACGAAATTAGAATAATGGAACAAAAATAAATGTGGTGTATATCAATGCTTTTTAGTTTTGTTTATTACATGCATTCACAAACATTTATATTTCAGCTGGAGATACAAACACAGACTTTGCAATTTCGTCTACTGTGCTCCAGGTCAATACAGGGAAAACGCTTGATATGTCAAAGACATCTACTTACACACTTGTCGTACATGCCATTGATGATGACACTACACAACTTACTGGATCAGCTACATACACTATCAGCGTAAAGTCTGACTGTGGTAACGGTGCACCAGCTTTGGTCGCAACCAGCATGACCATCTTAATGGCACTTGTCGCGTTTTTGGTCTAAGTTTGAAACTGTAAAATTATGTGAAATATAAAAAAAAATATATTGAATCAGTTGCCTTAAAACATTAAAATCATTAATTTATGTTAATAAACAAATATGATCATGAATACATAGCTAAACATTCCAAAGATACAAAGGTTGTATAAAAAAGGACTTTTATAAAGGAAATTAACATGACTGAAAAAAGTGATACACAAAGTATAACCGTCTACTTGTTAACTGTAAGCACAGCTATTTATTTCAAAAATTCATATTCTAATATATTAAATTTGAGCATCTATATTGTGATGACTTTGCGGATACCAACATTTACATTTATATATTGAGTGATGGCAAAAATTTAAAAAAGGAGAAATTGTACAGCTACAAGCTCAAAATTTACTTTAATGTTAAGTACATGTTCTAGACTATTGCTTTGAATTAATGGACGAAAGTCTTCGCCTCTTTGTATTTCTTGTGTGCTTTTATCTTTTGTGTGTATGTCTGTAACAGTTAGAGCAGCGAAGTGATATCAGTGATGAGATACAAGCGTATTGATGTTTGATTCATTTCGCTATTGTTGTTTAAATACAAAAATTGTATTGTAACGTTACCAGGTAAGTAGAAAAATACCTAACAAACATGTATTGTACGATAGTTCTTTTATCACAATATTACATTGCTACTTTCTAAATTTGAATTTTATTTCGATTGACGTTTGTTGCGTAAACCAAATAACATTCAAATTGATTGTACCATATGAGAACTATATCACATGTATAACTTTTCCGTGTAAGAATAAACTAAACAATACACAACTGTACATGTTAACGTTTTATTATACGTATTATATTTATATTCTTTTTAAGAAGTTCTTTTTAATATACTACTTTTGCTATTAACTAAATGCTTTTGCGTGAACCTTTTCAGCAATGATTTGATTACAATCGTAGAAATTACGTTTTTACTGATTTTGCATTAGTTATGGTCCAGAGGAGAGGAAGTCCAAACCTTTTGGTTAGGCAACCTGTGTTCCACATTTTCACAATCTCATAAATGTTTAAAAATCTAAAATAGACTCAGTAGCGTGCGTTTGACCCATTGCTGAAGGCAACTGTTTGACATCACCTTTTCCATGAGTTTTCTGGCAGCTCTAGTGGGGATGGCGGCCCATCTTTGCCCAACTGAGCCTAAAACCCATGAATGCCCTTATGTTAAGCCATTTGAGCCAACATCCGTACCTACAGCTTATTTCACATTAATAAGATATAAGTCATGGGACCAAGCTGGCCAGTCAAATCTCCCTCTGCAGGTAAACCTGGACCACCCAGACCCTGTGGGGACGCGTATTATTGTCCATTAAAATGCATTGATAACCCACTTCTCATGTAGCCCTGTTTTAACCATCGGTGTACCGCTGGTCAGAAAATGTACCTCTATTTGGCACAACGATTTAGCACAAAAAACATAGAAAAAAATAGTATGAAACTTTAAATATGTATAGATGACAGTATAGAGTATATGCACATAATTTAAAGCTCGACCATAGGGAATACACTTAACAAATCTTACAAGTGTGCATGTATAAATGGTTTTATATATGTGTCAATTTTGGTTCGATCATGCTCAAATTTCAATAAATACGGTTAAGAGACATGATATGATATGCCATTTAATAAATATCATAAGAACACACATTTGACAAACATGCCCAATAAATGTGATAGTGCGTTATAAGCCAATGTCGCAAAATAAATGTATCATTGAAAATTATTCTAATATCATATGTTCACCCTGACTATTAACTACAATGCAGCGTTGTCGCATATTTTTCATAGTATTGGAGTAGATTTGTTCACTATTGGACAATTTTCGCATATTCGAAGGCGATCAAATCTTCTTATGAGGCGGTACATTTAACCCCGTTTATAGCTTTTACCACATTTAACTCTAGACATTTTGGTGATATTCAATTATGTTGATGTTGTTTATAAATGTTCAGAAAGATTTTGTTGGCGCTCTGGCCGTGTGCTTGTTAGATATCCTGTAGAAACTGCAATCATATATTGTTCTATAGACATTGATTAAACCAAAGTTTGAAGGTCATCGTTTTGCAGAATTCCTGAATTGTGGAGTGCAACAGTAACTTAAACTAAAATCTACCCCAAAATTAAATGTACAACGATAAATCAAACTGCCACTGTGTTGATTAAGAATAGAGATCACATATGTTAACATTTTGCGACATTTACTTTTTACGCAACATCACGTTTAATGGGCATGTTTATTAAATTTGTGTGTGTTATAGAATTAAATAAATAGAACTGTCAATATTGACTCACTATATAAGATATTTGTATATACATGTTTTGAGCAAGTAAATCTTTTTCACTATTTTATTTCTTAAGTTATTTACATCAAACTTGACATATGAGCCGCGTCACGACAAAACCAACGTAATGCGTTTGCGACCAGCATGGATCCTGACCAGCCTGCGCATCCACGCAGTCTGATCAGGATCCATGCTGTTCGCTTACAAACACTATTACAAGTAGAGAAACTGATAGCGAACAGCATGGATCCTGATCAGACTGCGCGGATGCGCAGGCTGGTCTGGATCCACGCTGGTCGCAAACGCACTATGTTGGTTTTGTCATCACGCGGCTCATATATTTTTCTGATACCAACCACATCATATGTGATAAAGTTCACAACTATAGCATCTATCAGAATTAACCCCCTATGGACTTGTCATGAAGAAATGGTGTTTATTCTTTATTTCTTAATCTTATTTCAACTAAAATTTGTTTCTTATCATCATTCACATCATATGTGGCAAGGTTCATTATTCTAGCATATTTTCTAGCATCTTTATTTCAAGAGTTACCTCCTCTTTAGTTTAAGAATTTTGCTTTAGAAATGTTATACTCTGGTTACAATCAGGGATGTTTAAAGATTTGATCTTTGTCTTTCAGTCAGTCCGTCTGTCTGTTTGTCCGTCCTTAACAACTGTTTTCTGAGATCACTTTTAATAAGTTTGAAGTTCATTCATGTCTTCCACAAGGGCAAACTTGAGCAGAATACTAGTAATAGTGGGGTGCTAACCGGCAGGGGACTTTTGTATTGCTTGCAATATTTTGACAATTGCTTGCTTATTTTAATTTGAAATATTTACATTGTAATCTCTGAAATTATTCCAGTGGAAGTCTGAATATGCAACAAATTGTTCAAAATATTTACAGGTTCAAATAAACTTAATAAATCATAATTCGTAATTACTTTTATGTTTTACAATTACCACGGTATATGTTCCTCCTTGTTAATTTGTGTCAGAATCAGTTAAGTTAAAACAAAACTTTGATAAATATTTTCTGACAGGGCAGAGTCAGACTTCTTTATTTTCTAAGAATAGTTTATATATAATCAAATGTTTAATCAAGAACTTCAAATACGCTCTCATACATTAATTAAATGGTTTCATATATTGTAAAAATTAAATAAACTATTAATAATTCGGTTTGATATAAGAACATCTGGTTCCATATATGGCTACTTTGGTATCATATATTGAAGAACTGGTATCATATAATGTCATAATCAACTCATATATTGCTACTTTGGTTCCATACATTGATAAATTGGTTTCATAAATTGTAAAAGTAAATTAATATATTGAAAATTCGGTTTCATATCAGGGCATCTGGTTCCATATATGGCTACTTTGGTACAATATATTGTAGAATTGGTATCATATAAAGTGATAATCAACTTATATATCCATACATTGATTAAATAGCTTTATATCTTGTAAAATGAATTAATATATTGATTATTCGGTTCAATATATGGATATATGGTTCCATATATGGCTGCTTTGGTACCATATATTGAAGAATTGGTATCATATAATGTGAAAACCAACTTATATATTGCTACTTCCGTTCCATACATTGTAAAATGAATTAAAATATTGATAATTCGGTTTCATATCAGGACATCTGGTTCCATATATGGCTAATTTTGCTATATATTAAAGTGTCAAATTTAGATCTACATGTTTTAAATTATCAGTGCCAGTGTGGCAAGCCCGGGGTGAGCGCAGTGGTCTTGAGTAACAAAGCCCAGTTATAAGACAGGGGTCATACTAAGGTCCCTTTTCATGGTGCTGCATTCACTGCACTTAAAAGGGCAAGTTGTTTCTCCCGGAAAATTGTTATTTCTTTATTCATTGCATTCTACTGGAGTGAGCCACCAAGTTGGGTTTCCTGTGGCGATCATAGTAAACACAAAAGTTGAAAGGCATAATATAGGCACAACATAATAATACAACAAATCAACGTTACTGGTTGGTTCCAGGAATGGATTCGAGAGTGTGTTTATAAGCTTATAGCTTTCTACAAAATCAAACTAAAATTATTTCTGTATAAACTGAATCAGCAAATCCGTAACATTCTAACCTTCGTGTTTTCATTTTAGAATGGATTTGCTTTTTTGTCTGGACTTCGGGATTGGACATGGCGATGAAATTGAGGAGGGTGCGTTAAAGCACATTTACAATCAGCGTTAGGATACCATCGTTACATATATATTATAATGATGGTGAAACGGAAGAAGATGCAGGTGGCATCCTAATGTTAAACATTTATCTTCCAATCTCCTCAATGATTGCTTTTTTTCAAAATTACATTTTGCTACATTTATGACAAATATATTCACATCCAGTGTTACTTTCTTTAAGTGATAAGCATTGAACTGCTCTAACACCATTATTTTACCGTTATATAACTCATGTTTGCTCTTTCTTAGAGGACAAAATATTCGTTTTTGAAGTATAATGTGCCTCCAAGAAAAGAAAACATTTACAAAGTCTTCATTTTTCATCTTATGGACTTTTTTCATAATGATTTAATAATGACACACGATACATTTAATATAGCTGTTTATACATTTTAAACAACATTCTATCACTCCACGTGATTTTGTCACTATAGACAAAGAAGAAAAAAAACCTTAAACTGCCAATAAACACTGGTTAGGGACTACTTGTATATGCGGCTTTTATGTTTTCACCCTCGATTATATTGTTTACGAAGCCTTTTAAAGCAACAATAAAAAGCCTTTTTATTTATATTTTTAGTTCTCATAATGTTTTCTTTTCATACAATACCGAAATAATATCTCACATACACTAACGCGACATATTTGATTCATATCAGTTAATAAATATTTTGACAAAACGGCGCCAATCCGTAAGTAGCGTAATGACGTCATCGTAAGTAAACAACTCATTCATAAACAAGCTGACGTTATTTCATACATACAAGAATGATAAATGGGGCACTGATGTAAACACAATACGACGTAAGTTTTTATTGTTGAAAACTTGATAAAATAAAGTGTTTTTCATATTATTTAATTTGATTAATAATTTCTATATCTTTGCAACAGTAGGGTGCGAAAATCGAACAGCGTTATACGGAAATTGGCACCGGAAGTTATTTCCGCTTGAAAAAATAACATTAGTGATCTTCCTTATTTTGCCGTGATAGAATCGAAATAACATCGGCCTGAGAGGTGTATATCGGCTATTTAACACCGGTTTTGTCGTTTTGATGCGAAAAAATTAACCACTCAGGCCTACGGCCTTCGTGGTCAATTCCTACGCATCAAAACTCCAAACCGGTGTTAAATAGCCGATATACACCCCTCAGGCCGATGTTATTTCTTAAGTTTGTACTGTTTTTCAATAAAATGTGTAAATAAAAACGGCTATGATTCAGATTCACACATACTTTAATGGAACGCAAATGCAAATTATTTATA